AATTATTGTTATGGCAAATATCAAACATGACCAAGTGCTCAAACACAGTACTGATCGTCAGTTTAGTAAGATAATAACATAATTATCAACAGCGTTTTCTTATTTTGGACAAGAAGTCTACTAAGAAAACCAAAAATAAAATAGAAAAAGACTTACTTAATTGCTTATGTTGCTGGAACTACTGTTATTACCGGATATAAACAGTGGTTAGAGATATTGACAGTGATAGACGGTATTAACAGTGATCGGAGTATGTAAGTACAATGAATGGAAAAGAGAAAGTATATGAACAAATGGAGTTTTATTGATTGAAGGAGGAAGTACTGAGATTTTTTCTTCTCTGGTGTTCTGTACTTCGTTCTTCGGAGTTACAAACTATATACACAAATAACACCGACCTCTACTATGGCTAAGGATGAAAAGAAAAGAAGAAGCTAAGGATGAGAAGAAGAGTTCTTCTCTATCTGAAACTTTCTATCTCTCTTACTCTCTGAAGTTTCATATGAACTTCACATGCACATACTATACAAGCCAAAGAATTCACATGACGATTGTACAAGCAAACAAAGTTTAAAATTATGGACTGCTACACTGTTGCTGTTGCTGCTGGTACTGTTACTGCTGCTGCTGAAAAAAGATAAAGACTTCACATGTTGCTGTCGTCTTTTGTGGAGAAGAGAGACCTAGGGCTTGCATGTCTTTGTTATTCAAGATAAAGGGCTTTCGTGCCATTTTGAAAATGTTTTGGGTTTTTTTGAAAACTGCTTGTTTCCTTTGGGTTTTTCTCTAAATTTCGATAATATTTTAGGACGTCACAAATTTTTTCCCTCAATTTTTTTGCATGACGCTCTTTTTTTTTTTTCACCAAATTTAAGTTTGGTGCGTGTTAACCCTCATATACTCTCTCCAACCCTAACCCACACTTAACCCCAAATCCTCTCTCATATCTTCTCAGACTGCGTCTCTCTCTCTCTCTCTCTCATATTACTCTTGTTTCTCTAGCTCTTTCTCACCAAATTCTCCATAAACCATCCCTCTGTTCTTGGCTTTCTTTTCAATTGGGGGAAGTAAAAAAAGAGAAAGATTGAAGAAGGTATGCCTTTACAGGTTTAAACCCCAATTTCTCACACTTCTATTATCACAGACGACAAGACAACAAGTGATTGATGATGAGAAACCCCAATTTCTTTCATTCAGTTAGCACAAAATTGCAAATACATTGTTGTTGGCACTTTAGATGATACTTTGGTAAGCCCAATTCGCCATTTTTTTCCTTTTTCTTTCTAATTATGTTTATTGGGTTGTATTTGAGTAGTTTTCACTGCGTTATGAATGCTCACTTCAAATTGGGCACTTAAAAATGTCATGGGTTGGTGAAAGCTAAAAGGAATAAATTTAAGTTTTAAGATTTTAGGTTCAAGAGGAAAGTAAACGTTGAGTAATTGCGTTTTTTTTCAACTATTTTGATTAGCTTCACATAAACGTCTTGTCCAGATTCTGGATATTTGCAACTCTTGAACTCTGTAAGTTGGGACTGAAAAACTGATATTGGAATGGGATCTTACCAATTTGATTATTTTGAACGTTTAAAGCAAGCACTATAAAAACAAAATTTGATTATTTGCATCGGATTTGTTGTTGCAAGCAAGCGCTATAGAAATTTTATTACTATTATTTCTTTTTGTTGTTAGTGTAATGAAAATGATCCAATCATTGATCCAATCACCAGGTATATCTCTACTTTGGCCAAATCCCTGCATTCTGTCATTTTTATTATTTTAGGTTCTTCATATTTTCTGTTATTATAATGTTGGATAATCCTGTTGTCTTCAGAATCTTGACTCTTAACGTATGAATCTCATATGGGTTTCATTCTTTTATATATCTCAGGTTGTTTTTTTGATTGGATATTGTGGGTGTTGTTATGGATTCTTATTTTGCCATTAATTTCAGTTATTTCTATGAACCATATGATTTTCATTTTTGAGACTTGAATATAGGACAGTTTCTGGTTTGGTTTGCCTTTGTATCTCTTACACTAGATGCTGATAAAGCCTCATTCCAAGGAAAATTCCATTTAGATTTAGTTAGAATTTTATTGCCTTTTATTTTTTATTCTGATAACTCAGTACTCTAGTTTTTTCACAGGATTTAGATAACAAGGATGATGAAGTGTGAGTCAGCAGAACAAGTGTGACCCTTTTGTCACTCTTAAAACTTCAGTAAACCAAAAAGTAGGTAAACTCTGTTTTCATCCCTTTCAAGCTTGTTCTGGTGCTTTGGATTTTGGAATGCCATATACAATTTAATAAGTTAATTTATTTACTTTCCTTTTGGTCTTGGCAGTTGCTGTGGTGGGATAGTGTAAATTTTAAATTCAAAGCTTTTGACTTTGATAATGGTAATAAATTTGCTCATTTTATTAAAATAATCATGAATCATCATTTACAACATAGGTCAAATTACAAATGTTGGTACTAATTTATCTGCTTGCTTTTGTAATTAGTGGGGCTAATCCTGATGGAAATCAATTTGGTGCTGCATAAGTCCTTCATCCTGATGATGTCCTTGCTTTTTTTTTTTTTTTTTCTTTCTCATTATTGATTCCTTAGAATGTATAATGCTTTTGTGTAATATATGTTTATGCATTCTCATTATTGAAGGATATAGTGATTTAGATTGATGTTTTTGGTGAGCTTTTAGAGTAATAATCTTATGAATGTTATGTTTATTAACACTGGGTATGCTTTTACTGTAATATTATATCTGATATTAATTTTGTTCTAACTCTTATCATTTCATTTTATAGATGACAACTCCTGGGCAACGAGGAAAGAGAGTGAAGAGAGTTAAGAGGTTGAGGGCCATACTAGCACCAGCTCTAGAGGTAGTAATGGTGTCCATTCTGATGATGACTATTACGATGAACTAGCAAACCAGAATCTTGATGAGAACTGATTTAGGGATTATATCCATATGGAACATACACTTGCTCTCTAGACTTACTTTTGGTTGTACAAAGTCTAGAATTAGTTTCAGATCTTTATTTTGAAACACAGTTGCTCTACACTTACTTTTGGTTATACAAAGTCTAGAATTAGTTTGGGATCTTTATTTTGGAATACACTTGCTCTAGACTTGCTTTTGGTTGTACAAAGTGTAGACTTAGTTTGGGATCTTTATTTTGGAATACACTTGCTCTAGACTTGCTTTTGGTTGTACAAAGTGTAGACTTAGTTTGGGATCTTTATTTTGGAACACACTTACTCTCTAGACTTACTTTTAGTTGTACAAAGTGTAGACTTAGTTTGGGATCTTTATTTTGGAACACACTTACTCTCTAGACTTACTTTTAGTTGTACAAAGTGTAGACTTAGTTTGGGATCTTTATTTTGGAACACACTTACTCTCTAGACTTACTTTTAGTTGTACAAAGTGTAGACTTAGTTTGGGATCTTTATTTTGGAACATACAATGTAATTACCTACTTTTATTAATGGAAATGCGATTATCTATTTTTATACTATACATTGAAAAAGATGAGAACTGATAATTGTGATTGGATTTGCACATATTATTCATAATTAGGTACCTTGGTATGGAACATGTGTGACACAGACCTCATCACAATCTGAAGAAATATGTGATGCCAATATCGTCACAATTAAAAAGACATCTTATGTATACATTGTCACATACTACAAAATTATGTGACGTGTGCATCGTCACACATTAAACACATATGTGATGCGCGCGTCATCACACACTACATAAATATGTGACGCCTAAAAGGTCACGTATTGTATAGGAAGGAGCATTTTATACCAAGTTTAGGAGAGGAATAACTCCTCACAGATGCAGCTAAACCGTGACCCAAATCATGCATCACTAATAGCCGTAGGAAGTGACTAATGGATAGCCACATAATCCAACGTACAGTGACGTGGTATGTGTCACACATATCAGGTATATGTGATGAAGAGAGAAAGCGTCACATGGGAGAAGCAGTGACGGGGTATAGGTGACGAAAGCTGTGACGCTAAAATTACGTCACATATACTCAACTATGACGAAATTCCATGTTTCAGTGACGACTACCCCTCTTCACAAAAGGCATGTTTTCTTGTAGTGTTTTGGCAGAGCTTTAATACACTTCAAGCTTTTGTGAGGCTTTTGAGTGGGCAGAACTGCGGCTTCTTCAGTCTACAAGGACAGAAGTGGCTGTTCTCGAGGACTTCAGTGGGCTAGAGACTGCACTGTAAAATTTGTTGAGGTTTTATGTTTGGGAAAAGCTCAAGCTCTACCTGTCTTAGTTTTTTGCTGAACCAAATTTGTAACGAGAGAAATCTCGTTTTGAATGACTTATTTTCTGAATCTGAACCTTGGGGATTCTGATCTAAAGCTGGTTTCGCTTGGAATTCAAGTGAGCTTCTGGTTGATTTTGAGTTGTTTGTTTGGTTGATGATTTGAGTATCTGATTGATTGTCCTTTGCCCTGTTCACTCCTTCCTATATTTATAAGAAAGGTTTTTGGGAGTAGGGTTTCCTTTTAAATAATGGGTGGTAAATCTTTCAAAAGATACAGGGAATACAATAATTCAACTCTGGCACTTAACCGTCAGTTCTTAAGATCACTTCCCTGTTTTTCTTGAAAGAAAACCCAATATTTCTCCTTAATTCAAACTGCCCCCTGTGAGATTAGACTGTGATGGCTAGTTTTTTTTATTTCTTTGAACAAAATCCCTGTTTTCCCGCTTATCTCTTTTCGAGCTTGTAGTCTGCTTATCTCTCGGGAGGATCTTTTATAGAAGAAATATCTCTGAAATATATTAATATGTAAGGGGATTTTGATAAGCAGACAATAGCTTGATGTCCCTTCCTAATTTACCAGCTATTGCCCTTCTCTAATCAACTGACAATAGCTTGATGTCCCTTCCTAATTTACCAGCTATTGCCCTTCTCTAATCAACTCTGTGATAGTTGGTTTTGTTGACTTTTCTAAATATGAGAAAAAGGTGTCACGTGGGTTTCTGAAAACAATGGGTCTCTTCTTTTATCAAAATCGTGTTGGGTTTATTTTTGTCTAGAGCCCGAAGGTGATTTTTCTTTTGAGGCCCAAGTTTGCTTGTCTGTTTTGATAAGTCTTGGGCTAGACCTTTCTGGATTTTGGGCTTCTGTTTTCCTATTTTTTCAAAGACAAAACTATTTGAGTTTTGTAGTTTTATTCTGAGCCTCTTTTGTTGGGTTAGGCGTGTCAATTTAGGCCCAAACAATATATATATATATATAAGGCTCACTCCTCTTAACAGACAAACAAAAGTAAGGAATTGATTGGGTAATGGAAAGTTTGAGAGATAATCAAATCCTATGAGATTGGAAGAAGCCAAAGTGGGGATGAGGGAACAATAGAATGGCAACAAAGTACATGAGAATTTTCTAGTCCAAAGATAGAGGTATTTATAAAGAAGTACCTAATGCTAAACCCTAGACATAATTACAACAGAAAAGAAAACCCAATTATGATAGGACTATACAAACAGGACCCAATTACAGTAGGACTATACAAACAGACAAGTTTGCTTCCAAAAAACAAGGCAAGTTTGACTCCAAAAAATTAGTCATGTTTTTGGATAACGTTATAGCATTCCATTAAAATCCCTACTTTTTAGCATTTATATTTAATTTCTATTATTTGGGCACCTATTCAATAATAAAGGATTCAACCAATAAAATAAAATAAAAAATCAATGAACACACGCATAAATAATATAATTACACCTAATGCATATGTACAATAATATACCTATATAATAATAATAATAATAATAATAATATCATTCGATAAACAATAATAAATATACCTAATAAAAATTGGTCTTTTTGCCTAAAAAGTATTGTTTAGGTAATTGTCCGTAGGAAAATTATGGTGATACATGCAAAAGATTACTTGGTAATTTACCTATACTTTGTAGGTATACTAATTTACTTACATTGTAAATTAGGCATGCATGTTTTCTTAAAGTTGGAAATAAAATAAATTATCTTTAAATTTGAGAGAAATATTATCGACTGAAATCTAAATATTGTCTCCCAAACTTCCATCTCCTATATTTCCAAATGATGACTTCAAACCTAACTTCAAGCCCACTCGTGTTAATGAAGCATCTATATGTCATGCATGTTTTACTTGTTTAATTTTGAGAGGTATTTTTTCCAACTTGTTGTGTCGTTGGATATGGCTAGGGCGGAGACTGTGTCGACATGGTGCACCCAGGTGCACTTCTTGTGTCGCCGGATGGCGACGTAGTCCTTGGGAGAGAAGAATCGTGGGAACCGGTCTTTTAGGGCGGGGATGGTGGCGATGCATCTGAAGTGTTTTTTATGAGATCGTGTGGATTTTGTGGTCTTGGTGAGCACTGAATAGTAGCTCCCCAACGACCGCTAGACTTAACGGTGCTGTTGGTGGTGGCTACCACCTTGTTGGGTGATGAAGGGTGTGATCGGCTCCATGCTATGATCTGACCGTTGGATGAGCCGCTGTATAGGAAGTTTCCGGAGTGGGCTAGAGAGCATACGTAGGAGGAGGGCTGGGTTTTGAGGGTGGCCATGCGTAGGTGGTGGGTGTTTGGGACTTGTAGAACAAGTTCAAGTTGGTTGGAGATTGGGGGAGTTGAGGGAAGGAACAGAGGGAAGGTTTGGTTGGGAAGATAGAGAGGAGGAAGAGGTTGATGCTTCTGAGTGGAGGAGGTGATTGGAAATATTGGAGTGATCTTCCATGAGATTCTTCTGCGTTTATGTGACATGGCAAGGGACGGACAAGGAACAAGTCCCATTAAAGAAAGCTTTGGTTTAAAAAAAGAAAGATAATTAAAACGCAGCTATATCTTCTGTATGGGTTGTCGGAATGAGTTTACCTTGTTATGAAAGATATCGTGCGCTTAATAAGTACAAATTGAAGCTTCAAAAAAGTAGCCGCGACCCACTGGAACATTCATTTTCCAACTTTTCTTGACAATAAACTAGCTGCTGCTGCTGTTGGTGTAGGATGCAAGTTAGATATATTAATTAGCCTACTCTCGACCCTTTTTTTTTTCTTCCCAAATGGCATGGCTTGGTTGGCCGGGCCTAATTATTAGTTAAAATATTTTGTGGATTTTCCATTTGAAGGATAATGCTTTCCACTTGCTTCCTATGCTGCTGTACAAATATTTCTCAAAATAGAAAAGCATGGGCCCTTAGGCCATTTTGCTGATGCGTATAAAATTAGGTTGAAGGGCTTAAAAGTTGGAAACATCCATATCCCATGTGAACCCAATTCATGATGCTACCTCTAACCACCGCTCTTGAATCAGATTTTTGAAATTAATTAATCAAATAACTGACTTAAGAAAAAAGGGTTGGAAATATATAATCTGGGTCTGCATGGGTCCAGTCCTTTCAGATTGTTGAATCTGTCGACCAAAGTAACATCTTTATCATTCACATTGTTTTTTGTAAGGATAGAAAGCTGAAACACATACCAAGATAGTGTACGTAAAATTTGTCTATGATTCCAGAAGTCCACCTTCCTAACCCAGCTACTTGAGTGGCATAGTAAATTGTAAGAGGCTGAAAAAGAAAAGAAAAAAGTAACAAATGTTAATATTTGTGAAACATATCAACATATCCAAAAACGGGCAGATATACAAAATTAATATGAATTCATCGATTTGGAAGGGAGAAAAACTTAAACTAGGATCCCATATATTCAAGCCAATTAGGTATCTTTCCTTAACATGCATACTCCAAACTCTATTTGTACACAAATTCCAACTCTCAACTGACATACATATCATACCCGGTGGAGAACCAAAGCAACAGGCGAATGCAGTGGGATGGACCTCCATTCATAGTATGCCTTCCAACTGGTTAAATTCTTTGATATCATAGATAAAAGGCTCTGCATGTGTACGTCAAAAATTTATAAACATCAACTTTTATTGAATTATCTTAGCAAGATAAACAAGATGATACCAGTACATGGGTATTTGAGATATCCCAATAATTATTTAACCTGCCAATAGAGAGAAAAGAGAAAAAAAGAAAGAAAATAAAACATACGCGAACAGAAATAGAATCAACATGGAAAACAAACTAATGAAGAGAATTTCAGATGTACCAGGCAGATCAATTAAAAACAAAAGAAACCTTGAACGATCAAAGGAAATAACCACATTCCCATCTGATGGACCCCTCTTTTTTTCAAGACTGAACACCTTGTCTCCTGCTTTTCACACACCTGAAAGATCACTCCCGAGAGACACATCAGTGAAAACACTCAGACAGTATAATAGAAAAGCCACTACTCAAAGTTCTCTGTCTTGCAAAAAGAGAAATTGTTTATTACCTGAACAGTAGCTTCTTGAGTAAAAGTGAAAGGAAACTCATTCAAGATATCCATATGCTTCATATGTTGCTCCAACCTTCCACACTCTTCTTTATTATCAGGCCAATGCACAATCTACAATAAAAAGTTATTGAGTTGGACAATAACTTAAATTCAAGGAAAATCATGACAACCAAAACACTTTTTGGTCAATGGAAGTTAGAAAAAGATTGTAACCCATTCAGCCATAATGAAATTGAGCAGTGAGGACCGAGCATAGTGAGAAGACCTAGCGACCAATGTAAACACGTAGGCACATGCCTACAAGTGGTGAAGGCTTTGACAAAATTAAAGCCGCAGCATCAAACGGTATGAATACGGTTAAGATCGCAGCTCATTTGGGTCTCCACTGGATCAAAGGCAAGTGCAAGACAAGCCGAGAGCAGTAGCAGCAGCTTATCTTTAATCTTTGTACAACATACACGCACAGGCATTGAGCAGTGAGGAATGAGCATAGTGAGAAGACTTAGCGACCAAGGTAAACACATAGGCACATGCCTACATGTGGTGAACCTATACACATGGACTATAATGCTGACACCCAAATAATCAGCTAACCCATTATCAGTAATTTCTTTGTTTATTGAGTTACTTTAGTCTTATTAGCTCAACTGCAATACTATTTTGCTGTGGGCATGAGTTACCACTTAAGACACTATTCTAAGCTGCAAACCAAGACCCCAGACCCAAGCCAACAGACCCTTATAATCAATTTCTCCCTTCCTCCTCACACACCATTTCTGCACAATTTAAGACTAACCCAATTGTTGCTCTCTTACATGAAACCTAAAAACATAGCTAGATATCAGCACCCATGACAAAATCAAGAATAAGGCTTCTACACTTGTATTTTTAAAACTCAGCAGTCCATGTTTTGCGGCATGCTTATCAATTTCTGATTTGCTTTCAAAGCACAGCCAATTGAAAAAAATAGAAAGAAAAAAATAAAATAAAAGGTCATACAAATTAGAAGGACCTGCTGAGAAACAGAGCAACAACCAACAGCTCCACAGCAAGCACGTCATCTTGCGGTTGTGTTTGTGGCTGGTCCTGTGCACCGAGTCCCATGTCCCTTCCCGGCACACTCCATTGTTACGCAGAAGCCTTTGCTCTTCCTCAGTTCCTCTCACTCTCCGTTTGAACTTGGGCACGTTTGTACTGTATGCCGTACGGACTGCGGCCCTTGGAAAACTCTGGGCCTTTCCAAGTCTACCCAACTAAGAAATGCCCATTGCTTGCCCATAAGTCTTACGAATTTTTCAATACACAACTGCAACTTGATAAATGATGTATTACATGCCTAACTGGGAGGTACAAATCTAGTGGGACTTGAATTTAGCACCATAGAGGTCTGTCGTCAGTAGGAGGTAGGGAGGGGCAGTGCTCATTCATGTTAGCGTATGGCTCTATGGTGTTATATTCAGGTAGTTCCGTCCAATATTCACCAAGGATCCGGGACCTATTCGTCCTTGCCGTTGCACCAACTTGGCAAGCGGGTTTGGTTATCCTCAAAAATCTTAAGCATGTACGCATCACAAATCTGCGACCAAGTTTAAAAGCCATGTCATATATGGTCACGGTTATGAAAGTTCAAAGAAAACTACAAGAGTGCAAAATGACTTACCGTGAATTCAGTAACTTGGATAGAGTTGGAAACAGGACCAAAAATCCCGGCTTCTTTATACATTGCAAGAATAAATGCAACACATGTTGTAGATTTGGCATTGCTGCATGCATACCCATTCATCTTGTTCTGGAATTGTAAGCAAATTATCAAAGGCTATTTCACGATTCTCAATCTCAATTAGAATCTCATACAGGTCCAACCCCTAAAAGGAAACACAGGTGCAAATTAACATCAGATTCAATATGGAGCAAGCAGATAATATACTTAAATAAAATTAGAAGATGCACAGGGCATTAGACTTCTAAGAGCAGGCCTCCGGTGTTCATTAAACAAAACAGAACAAACTGGCATGGCTTAGGATTTTAAATAAGTTAAATTTAAAGTTAAATTTAATAGACACCAAAAGTAAAATGAAAAGCCTCAAGCAAAGCATAATTGCCTCTTTACCCAGCCGCTTGTTGAGAGCTTCATTCCACATATTTGCAGAATAAGCAGGCTGCGTACTTGTCCGCATAGAAACAACCTGAAAACAGGAGGTGCCAATTAGGATGAAAACTTGATTGACCAAAACCAAGCACACTCCATCTTAAAAAACATATATACGTACATGCATATATACATGCATGTGTGGGGATGAAACGCAGGATGAAATGCGTGCGTGCTGGTGAAATAACAATATAAACTAACAACCTACATGACGATACTCTGCCTCATCTCTATAATGCTTACTGTACTAGGCCACGTAAAAGTTTCAAGCAGCAAAGGCATACCAAGTGAGTATCAAGACGAGGAGGATAGTTGTCAGCCATGGTGTCAATCCAGCTAAACATCATATTGTGATAACCATATGGCTTCCCTGACATACTCTGAGCATATTCCCATGCTTCCATAGAATTTAAATTCGCACGTAACTCTGGATGCAAGGGAAGCAAGGCTATTTCTGGATTAGAACTATCCTTGAGTGCCAGTTCCCACCACTCATCCCATGGAACCACTGGTATAATTTCTTCACCCTGCAATATTAATGCTTGTAAAATGTCAAAACAATCCAACATGCAGTCAGACGAATCACAATAACTTCACATAAAGAGAAAGAACTAACCAAAGCTGAAGAAAATTAAAAAACCTATGCAACATTGTCATCAATTTAATTTTTTTTCAATACACAAATCCCCATCATCACTTCCAGCCTGATTCAACTATCACTTCTACTCTTTGTAAGAACCAAAACATTTAGAAAGCTTAATTAAAGTCCAAACCAATGAAATCAGTGAGTTAATTCTATTTGAAACAAGTAGAAACTAAAGCAGCAAAATCAAAATGAATCTGACGCACAAGGCACAGAGTATAATCAACCTACAACGTCTTTAAGTTGTAGTTATATCCATATTATACGCAAACCAAAACAATTAACAATAAGGAATAAGCTGAACATTTGAATAGGGATAAACAAGAAACAAAATAGAAAATGCCCAGAAACACACGAGATGATGTATCTTTATTGTATACAAAGAAATAGAAAAGCTGAAGAATACAACAAATTTTACTGGTAGATTGTTGGAAATAAGAAAGTAATAGCATTTCCAAGACAATTGTTTTTCATTTTCTCCAATGAGGGTTTTCCAGTTCAGAGATAGCCCTGATTATGAACTCACCAAATTATCTGATGCAGGCACTTCATGGGATCTCCTTTTAAGCGCATCCGTGACAGTTGCTCCACCTTGCAAAGATGCTGGATCCTGAAGTGAAAAAAGAAATAAATTATACTCCCAATCTGTAGATAATTAGTACGAGATGCACGGAGAAGCAACTCAAATTAATTCAAAAACGCCTGTCCAAAAAAGCTTGAGCTCAGACTAACTATTACATTCTTCAACCTCAAAGTTAAAAAGTGTCTCTGTTGCGCATAGTACATTGTCTCTCTTACTCCAGAACATGCAAAGGAGCTGACAATTACCAAAAATAATCTATAATACAAGATACAAGCACAATCAACTGCTATGCCATAAATGATAAATCTCACTGGTCCATTGGAAGTCTAATTACGAGTTTAATTCCAAATGGGCACACGTAAAAAATTTGCCTTTTTGAAATCGAAATCGGAAACGAAATTGAAGGTAGCAAGTGAACTCTTACTTGAAAAGGGCAATGTATAAGCTTGCCAAAAATATCGTCCTTCAAATCAGCAGCCGCGATTGTGTAAACGGCATTCGTAAGTCCACATGAACCAAGATACTCTTCAGTGTCCTTAGGCAAAGAGTACCCTTTGTACACACTAACCGGAGGATCAAATATCTACCACAATTCCAAATAAAAAAGAAAGAGTGAAGTGAAGTGAAGTTCAAGCACATTAAACCCATTTAACCCAGAAAAAGAAAAATGTAAAATTACCGAAGAACTAAGCTGAGCCTGACAATCGCCGACACCCTTATAAACACCAACAATATCTCCTTTGCGCACTACATAGAAGGCATCTTTTGCCAGGTCCACAACCGGTTCAGCTTCTGACTTCCTCCGTGAACGAGACTATGTCGTCTTGCTGCTGGCTTTGCTTCGAGATCAGCAGAGCTGAACATGGAATCTCGTTGATTCTAAGTTGATGCACTTAACCCCACACGAAAGGTCCAATTTTCTTTTCCATGAACAGGGTCTGTACAGAAAACTCGTCGCCACGAAACGACCCTTCGTTCTGAAAATGGCGGTTGCGTATGACGAAACGTGCGACAAGCAGTTCATCACACACGCAGCGTCAGGATGGATTGTCCAGGTTTCTGAAACAGAGCCAGAGGAGGCAGAGAGATAGAAAAGGATTTGGGTTTGACTGGGCACAAATAATGGATTCTCATTGGAGGGCTCTTCATTCTCTGTCGAGCCCTATAACACCAATAGAAATGTTTCGTTATTAAACTTACAAATGCTTTTTTGTCTGTGAAAACGATCGAGAATTATGTTCTTTTTTATTCTTTCTCTTTCTTGTTCTACCATTACCCTACAATTCCTCATAATAAACATATACAATCACTTACTAATATTATGAAAGAATAAAAATCTGAGTGTAATAACTCGATCCTAAATTAATATTTAATCATTAAATTATTCAAATAAAAGACAACTTTACCCCTCGAGAATATTTTAATGGGATTAAAAATTGACTTTTTGTTCGGGAAAGAATCTGGAGATTTTAGTAGTACTATTGCGTATATCACGTCGAGATGAATCTGTAGACACGTAGTGGGCTCAAATCGAATTTATAATGAAGAAGTTATGATCTAAAGTAGCCTAGTGGCAAAATCGTAATTATATCAAAAAGGGTTTTAAAAAAAATATGAAATCTCTCTCAAATAACAGAACTATTTAAGAAAAACTATTGCTCGTTTTGTCAATTAACAATTATTTAAGAAAAAACCACATCCACCATCATGTTCCATGCACACGCTCAAATAACAGAAAAAGTTAACAAAATTAATGGTAAGACCATTTGTCCTAACGAAACTAAAGTTGAAGGACCACGGAAACGATTTTGAAAATTGAGGAACCAAAATGCAAATTGAGTCAAAATTCAAGTACCATTGAAACTTAAAGATGACCATTTACCATCTCATCCAATTATTTTGTTGGTTGAACACCACCAACTATTCTATTTTGTGTTATCACACTAAGAATTTGCAATACATATTTAGAAGTAGGTCAAACTAATATATGGTCAAGATTTTTAATATAAAATTGAAGTTTATAAACTCATTTTCCACATGCATGAAAGGAAATCCCCAAAAATCTTGTGCATTGTTACGGTGAGAAGGATAGTTTTAAGCAATAATCACCTTTCACTTTCCTAATGTCAAGTTCCTGAAGGCCTTATCCACAATATCAAAAGTAAACCATGCAGCATATGATTCGGCAGTGTTAGGCCATGATCAGACTCACCCTTCAATTTGGTTTCCTAATTTTTCCTTTTCAATTGTTTGTAAATTTTTATATGATCATGTAAAAAGACAATTAGCCATGGTTAAGATATTCAAATGTTATAGCAAGTGCAAGCTTTACAGTTTTGATTTTGATCCCAAGTTTCTAGAATATTAAAAGAGATAAGAACTTTCCAAGGGCATCATGGTTTTTTGTTTTTCTATTTTTCTATTTTTTAAATGGATCCATGGTAATAGAAAATAGGGAGTTTCACTAAAACACCCAAAATGAAGGTTGAAATTATAAAAAAACTCAAGCACTATTTAAACATATAAACACACCCAAAACTCATCATTACACACACTCAAAACCCATTTATAAACACACCTAAAAAGTTGACTTTGGGGTTGATTTTGGGTGTGTTTCTATGTTTAAATAGTACTTGGGTTTTTTTATAAATACATGTCTAGGATTGAGTTTATTTATAAATTTGTATAGAAAATACTGTGCGCCGGGTTGAAACAGGTTAGTGGATTAGCTTCAAACAAATAAAATTTACAATTAAGAAAAGAAAAAGAAAAAAAGAGAAAAAAGGAGCTGTATCGGGTTGTACGTACGTACAGAGTGTTGAATCGGGATTGAATTTGATTTGGTCTCTGGTAGAGAGAATATTGGAATGGGATTGTGAATTGGACGTGTTACAAAATGCATCTCTTTGGGAGGGAGTAGGACACCTTGGTTAGGTGGGATCTTTGGCCCTTTGCCCTCATCACCCTCTACTCCTGTTTTTCATGTCTCATTGTCTCTTTGGGAGTGGTATGCTCTCAAATCAAATTTTTATAGTTGAGACCCAATCATGCTCCACATAACACTTTTTTCATATATTAATTTTTTTGTTTGTTTGTTTACATTGGAGAAAAGAAAATCTCATTGAGTTTGATCTTAGGTGTCATGAGAGGAGGGAGAATCCACCACCACCGTGGTGGAACCCATTAGCATATATTGATTTTCATTATATACAATTAATAAATGATTGATAACCATTAATGTGTGTGAGATAGTTTTGTCCGAGGCATTATAGGAGCAACGTTTTTCGTGAAAAAATAAAAACGTGTGTACACATTTATTAACAATCCTCCACAAAACTTAAAATTATAAATTGGTATGTCAAATATTCTCGGAGTATAGGCAGAACATTTATGGTATATATCCCAGCAAAATTTGAAGTCATGGAGAGGCCCACGTCGTCTATACAAATTCAAAGATAAATAATATTAATTAATTATGTGGTCCCAACATATATAGTGATGGATTAATTATCACATGCTAATTAACTACAAGCTTGTGATGCTGCAGACAATGAAGTGAGGCGGCGGTCAACGGGGCAGCAAGATAGTTGACCCTCTTGGCTAGGCACCACGACAACAAGAGAGAAAATAGTATAAGATCATTCAATTACTCTTAATAATAGGAGATTAACGTACACACTACACACACATGCATGCAAATGATCGATGCCAATATTTAACATGGGAACGTATTATAAATATAAATTTTGTAATTAATTAATTATTAAAGTCATAAACATATGATATGCACATCGGACAAAAGAATAGTTGAGGAATTGTGGTTACAATTGATTTTTTTATCAATGACTTCGTTCTTCTGTCTCTGTCATGCCTTTAATAAAAAGCTTCATGTTAGAGTATATTTCAAAAAGGCACTCAAAACATCCAACTAAACTCCAATAAAAAGCCTTTTATCTATCTAGCTTGCTGTAAGTGAGGGGTTTTGGTTGTAATCTTTATTGGAATTTGTTCAAAGGCACACAAATTGGTTCAAAGAAAAATAAACTAATGCGAGTGAGGTGAAAGTGACATACCCACGATTTTGGTGCTTGTGCTGCCTTTTCAGTAACAAAGTTAATGAGGTCAGTCTCATTTCCATAAATGATATAAAACTAAAGGAATAAAAGTAAACCTACACGTGATCTATAAATATCCATATATATGTAATAGTGAACAGCTACTTGACCTAAAATCTCACTCCCAGCACAGAACCAGAGTCTGTCACCTCCATCCCCTTCTTCCTCCTGTTGTTGCAGCCTTAAAGATTTTAGTATTGGGTCTCAGTTGTCCTGTTGTTGCAGCCTTAAAGATTTTGGCATTGGGTCTCAGTTGTTGACTCTCTCTCTCTCTCTCTCTCTCTCAAAACATCAGCCGATTTGTTTCTTGCTACTTCTTTTTTTCTCTCAGAGCATTACATCAGCCAAAACATTAACCTATCTGTTTACATCTCCCACATGCCTCAACCTCCTTCCTCTCTCTCAAACCGATCTGTTTACATCAGCCACATGCCGCCTCAACCTCTTCTGCGGTTCTAGCTCCCGGCCAATACGGGCTCCCAGAAATTGTTGTCGTTTCAGCCCGTTTCGGTTGAGCGAAGGAACGCAGTAGCTCCACCGATCTGTTTACATCAGCCATATGCCGCCTCAACCTCCTTCCTCTCTCTCAAACCGATCTGTTTACATCAGCCACATGCCTCAACCTCCTCTCTCTCTCTCAAAACATTAACCGATCTGTTTACATCAGCCGATTTGTTTCTTTTTTTCTCTCATAGCTCAACCTCCTCTCTCTCTCTCTCTCAAAACATCAGCTGATCTGTTTCTTTTTTTCTCTCATGGCTCAACCTCCTCAACCTCCTCAACCTCCTCAACCTTCATTTGGTTCTAGGATTATTCAAACCCTAACTCCATCATGGGTTCCAGAGCTCACTCTCTTCCAACAGACCGATGGGGAAGCGATTGTGTCCAAGAGCAATATCTTATTAGTGGTGACCACATTTGTGACTGTTTTAGTGTTTGGTATGGGCGTGAATCCACCGGCGGAATACTGCAAGTGCTTCAAAGAGGAACATAAAATATGCAACTGTGCTATAGCAATTTATGTGTGGGAGTTCATTATGTCTGAAGCATTGGTGACATGTCTTTTGGTCATCAAATTTATGGTGAGACAGTATCCGGTTAGACAATTTATCTACCTTCTCCTTCTCTGTCTTTTGATTGGATATTGGTGCATACTCACTACGTTCATACTCATGTCTTTATGGGTGACTATGCTATGCCTGTGTTGTTTTCCTGCTATTTTTGCCTTGTGGCTAATGAGAAGCATTGACCAAGCTGTTGAGAGAAATGGAGGGGTTGTTGGAGGTGGCATTGAAGCTGGTGCGGGACATAATGTTGCCATTGAGGCAGGTGCTGGAGGGGGCGTTGGAGCCAGTGCTGACTGCTGGAGATGAAGCCGTCGGAGTTGGAGAGCTTGCCGGTGTGCTTGCTGGAGATGAAGCTGCACTTGAGCTTGCCGGTGTGCTTATGACAAAATCCACCATTGATCCTTGTGATGATCTTGAGGTAGAACTCATTGATAGTGAAGAAGAGTTAATTCAAAAGTACGGAGAACTTGTGAAAGTGCCTTACAATTTAAAAAAGCAAAGTGTGCATCTCTGGAATAAAGTCATTATGCTTCAACAAGAAAACTCAGATTTCTCTATTCGTGTGAGTCAACTTAAGCAAGAAATTAAAAAGTTAAAGTTTGACTTAGATCTGTCTAGAAAAAGAGAAATTAATTTCACCATTGGACAATTATTTTGCGCTTTTATTGTGTTTCAGACTGCTGAAGAAGTGAGTTTTGCTGCAAATGGAATAACTGGAACTGGAATGAAAGCCTTTGATGGTGTTCTTCAATCTAACATTATGTTAAAGACTCTTAATCTTTCTGGAAACCCCATTGTGGATGAAGGCGTTAAGGTCAGTCCAAATTCCACCTGTTTATGATAAAGTTGTCTTGTTAGTTTGCTTGCAAGATTGAGTGTCGGAAATTTTTTCTTTTGAACATCAAATGCTCCCTGCTTCCTAGGCAAAATAACATTTTTCAACCATGGGAGTGCAAAGAAAAAGTTTGTAGCTCAGTTGCATGTGTATATTATTGCTTATTCTTGAATCTGAGAGCTTAATGTTGTGTGATGTACTCTTCTTCACAGTGCCTATGTGATATATTGGTGAATAATAATGGTATTCAAAAGCTCCAGCTCAACAGTACTGACTTAGGGGATGAAGTTAGCTTACTTCTTTCTGTCAAAGCTAGTGCCCTGATGAGTACAGACACATGCCTTCAAAATCTGCAAGAGGAAAGGATTGTCCATGAATGATATGCCTAACAAGCTTAAGACATAAAAGAGAATTGAAAACTAATTTTGATCTACTTACTTATTTTGGAACTTAGTTCATTGTTTTTGCTAAAACTTAGTTCATCCTTGCTGGTTTAAATCCTGTTCATGTTTAGGGAGCTGAAAACATTGCAGATGCTTTGAAGCAAAACCGGACAATAACAACCATAGACCTGGTGAGAAGAGCATGCTTCTTTGTTAGCATAACTTTTTATGTACATGTTTTACTCTATTTTATTTAAAAACGAAAAAAGAGAGGTCCTGAACATACTAATTTAAAAAACATTGGGTCGCTTTCAAAGGGAGGAAATAACATCCATGCCAAGGGAGTCACTGCCATAGCTGAAGCGTTGAAAGATAATTCTGTCATTACATTTGTAAGTCTCTAATCTGTGCCCTTTTCCTTTTTTTTTTCATTTCTATTCATGAATGTAATGGCAGAAACTCATCTCTTCTCTCAGTTGGAGCTTGGTTATAATCCCATGGGACCTGATGGGGTGAAGGCTTTATCCGAAGTTCTCAAGTTTCATGGAAACATAGAAACCGTTAAGCTTGGCTGGTGCCAGGTAATCTATAGTTTTTCACATATGCTTATCTATTTCTAGAACTTCGATCTGGGTTTTCTGTATCCGTTTGAGAGGATCTTGTAACAATGTAATATAAAAATCTTTTGCAGATTGGTGCAAAGGGTGCAGAGTTCATCGCGGATATGTTAAAATATAATACTACAATACGCGTTCTGGACTTGCGGGCAAATGGACTTCGAAATGAAGTTAGTTCCTGCAGACAAGCAATGTCTTTAAACTCCATTTGGGTCGTTTTGATCACTCCAATCTAATGTTATTTTCCTTTTTATGCATTGGAAAATACAGGGTGCATCCTGCCTGGCTCGTAGCTTAAAAGTGGTTAATGAAGCTTTAAGTTCATTAGATTTAGGGTTCAATGAAATCAGGGTATGTATTGACTTTGTGTTTTCCGTGTGCTTTTTCACGTTTTAGCAGTATTTTGCACAACTTGAAAATGGTTTTGTATTCAGGATGACGGGGCGTTTGCAATTGCTCAAGCACTGAAGGCCAATGAAGATGTGACAGTCACATCTCTGAACCTTGCGAGTAATTTCCTCACCAAATTTGGGCAGGTAACCTTCTCATCCTCTTGAGGGGTTTTTTTTTTTTTTTTCCTCTTTCACTATTTTGGCATTTTATTCTGTGCTGCTTGTTTTTGCATGCGTCTTAATGAACTTTTGCATGATGCAGAGTGCTTTGACAGATGCAAGAGACCATGTATATGAGATGAGTGAAAAAGAAATCAACATTTTTTTCTAGAAGGCTTACTTATTAGACTAGAAATGTGGGTGGTATGTGGGAAACAAATCAACATCTTTTGAGTTCTTATCGACTCCACTTACTGAGGAACAAATTGGAAATTTTGACATTGAGAGATCATAGTTGGCTCTTCAGTGATGGATAGGTACTGTTCGTAAGGCTTTGTATCTTTCAATGTACTGATAATTCAGAGTAGTTTTTGTAATGATTTATTATTAGTATTTAGTACCAAGACCAACCAAGAAAAGATGAGTGGTGGTGCCTTTATAAATTAGAGAAGTGAGTTTTGAGGGTGCCGATGCAATGCAGTGCCATATAGCCTTGGATGAGATGATCATTTACCATCTCATACAACTATTTTGTTGGTTGAACACCACCAACTATTCTATTTTGTGTTATCACACTAAGAATTTGCAATACATATTTAGAAGTAGGTCAAGGTTTTTAATATAAAATTGAAGTTTATAAACTCATCTTTCACATGCATGAAAGGAAATCCCCAGAAATCTTGTGCATTGTTATAGCATAAGAGGTGCTGCATACTTGAGATTGGTTTAATTTTCTGCGTTTGTGTTGGCCTCACACTACACCAAGAAAAGCATGTGAGTTCTTTACTAATCTTTTGTAAATCTCTTTGATTGTATGAATTAATTGTTTAAAATTTTGGAAGACTACAAATATATTACATAAACCATTACCGGACAAATACATTTACTACAAACGCATAAACGTTTGGCATGTATATTTGTTCTACAAGTAATTTTTGTGATACAAACCTGTATGGGTATAGTTGGACATACTACCTGTCCTGTAGACTTAGTTTGGTTCATAATCTTTTTCACTACAATAGCAAGTAATTTTGAAAAATAAACCTTATAAGCCTAAGGTACAGGTACATCAACCAATACTAATAAACGGGAAGAAAAAAACACAATCAAAATTTACCTACAAACAACAAACATGAAAAATAAACCTTTCCTTACATACCTTCACTGTAGTAGGTATGTGCCAAGTCAACTATTCTCCACCCCATATTCAACACTCAAACCGACCTCCATTATAGACACATGAACCTAACGAAAAAAAAACAGATAAGTTGAATACTTCATAGCAAACCTAATGGGAAAAAAAAAAACCAGAATGTAACCCAAGTAATTCAATCCTAATTTGGAATTTGTGAAAATCTTCATTAAGGAAGTAAAAAATCAGCAGAGATTGGGATGGAATTACCATGATTATAGGAGACAAGCAGATTTTTAGGAGGGGTCAGTTTTATTTGCCTTTTCTATTTAATGACACTAGAAGTAAATATCTTAAAAATGATGGACAAAGGCATTGCTTACGTATCCATTGAATTGTTTGGTAGACTGCTATTGAGGAGCCTAAATTGATATCCTTCGTCCATTGTATCTTAATGAACATGGACCTATATCTAACCCCCCCCCCCCCCCCCCAAAAAAAAAACTCTCTTTCTCTTCTCTTTTTCTTTCTCAACTATATCATCTTGATCTTGTCTCTCGGATATTGGCTCTCAATCTCCCCATAACAACCTATTGCTCGTTTTGTCAATTAACAATTATTTAAGAAAAAACCACATCCACCATCATGTGCCATGCACACGCTCAAATAACAGAAAAAGTTAACAAAATTAATGGTAAGACTATTTGTCCTAACGAAATAAAAGTTGAAGGACCACGGAAACGATTTTAAAAATTGAGGAACCAAAATGCAAATTGAGTCAAATTTCAAGTACCATTGAAACTAAAAGATGATCATTTACCATCTCATGCAACTATTTTGTTGGTTGAACACCACCAACTATTCTATTTTGTGTTATCACACTAAGAATTTGCAATACATATTTAGAAGTAGGTCAAGGTTTTTAATATAAAATTGAAGTTTATAAACTCATCTTTCACATGCATGAAAGGAAATCCCCAGAAATCTTGTGCATTGTTATAGCATAAGAGGTGCTGCATACTTGAGATTGGTTTAATTTTCTGCGTTTGTGTTGGCCTCACACTACACCAAGAAAAGCATGTGAGTTCTTTACTAATCTTTTGTAAATCTCTTTGATTGTATGAATTAATTGTTTAAAATTTTGGAAGTTTGTTCTTTCTTTTAAACCTTTCTACGAGTTGAGAATTCTAATTTGTGTTCCAATGAACTTTCGATTGATTGCATTGTCCCACTGAGCATCCACTTGATTCTCCCAGATTTGAGTTCCTACGAAAATCTATAGGTATTGAACCAAAAGATTAAAACTACACTGCACAATTGTTCTAAAAAATAAAAAATAAAAAAAGTTTTTTGTGTTTGTTCTCTCTCTCTCTCTTCTTTTTATTTTTTCCAATCTTTTTAAGTTTTTGTGGTGCAGTTCTGATTCTTAAATCCTTTATCTTGCAAGTCAGTGTTTCGTTGTTTTTTTTGGGCATCATATATCAAAAGTTCAATCCTGGCAATTTGTTGGATTAATACAGTAAGCGTTGTATTAATACTTGGGAGTTTCACTAAAACACCCAAAATGGAGGTTGAAATTATAAAAAAACCCAGCACCCAAAACACTTTATAAACACACCCAAAACTCATCATTACACACACTCAAAACTCATTTATAAACACACCCAAAAAGTTGACTTTGGAGTTGATTTTGGGTGTGTTTCTATGTTTAAATAGTGCTTGAGTTTTTTTATAATTACATGTCTAAAATTGGGTTTATTTATAAATTTGTATTAATGCTTCCACCAGGATTGGAACAATAGCAACTTCTTTGTCTGTTTGTGGTTGTCCTTTTTGTCTTGTTTCTCTGCATTTTTTTTTTCCTGCTGTTGTGACTCTATTTATTCTTTTATTTGGCTTGTTTTTATCTTATTTTATTTATTTCGTTTTTCTGTGTCAGTTTGTGTTTCCTAGGGGTTGTTCTCTCTCTCTCTCTCTCTTAACTCAACTGGCGTGTTTGTTTTTCTCTTATTCCCTCAGTTTCTCCGCTCTCTCTCTCTCTCTCTCTCTCTCTCTCTCTCACTTCTATTCTCTCTGCTTCAATGGAAGAAACCGCCTCTGGCCCCTCTCGCGTCACAAACCCGGCTCCCTCAGGCACTCAAGCGCCACCTCCTGCTGGTCCATCCCTTTATCCTTCATCCCTCAGGCACTCGGCGATTATCAGGCTCAGCTTAGTTCTTCGGTAATTCTACAATTTTCTTTTTCTGGGTTAAATGGGTTTAATGTGCTTGAATTTCACTTCACTTCACTCTTTCTTGAATTGTGGTAGATATTTGATACTCCGATTAGTGTGTACAAAGGGTACTCTTTGCCTAAGGACACTGAAGAGTATCTTGGTTCATGTGGACTTACGAATGCCATTTACACAATCGCGGCTGCAGATTTGAAGGACGATATTTTTGGCAAGTTTATGCATTGCCCTTTTCAAGTAAGAGTTCACTTGCTACCTTCAATTTCGTTTTCCGATTTCGATTTCCAAAAGGCAAATTTTTTACGTGTGCCCATTGGGAATTAAACTCCTAATTAGACTTCCAATGGACCAGTGAGATTTATCATTTATGGCATAGCAGTTGATTGTGCTTGTATCTTGTATTATAGATTATTTTTGGTAATTGTCAGCTCCTTTGCATGTTCTGGAGTAAGAGAGACAATGTACTATGCGCAACAGAGACACTTTTTAACTTTGAGGTTGAAGAATGTAATAGCTAGTTTGAGCTCAAGCTTTTTTGGACAGGTGTTTTTGAATTCATTTGAGTTGCTTCTCCGTGCATCTCGTACTAATTATCTATAGATTGGGAGTATAATTTATTTCTTTTTTCACTTCAGGATCCAGCATCTTTGCAAGGTGGAGCAACTGTCACGGATGCGCTCAAAAGGAGATCCCATGAAGTGCCTGCATCAGATAATTTGGTGAGTTCATAATCAGGGCTATCTCTGAACTGGAATACCCTCATTGGAGAAAATGAAGAACACTTGTCTTGGAAATGCTATTACTTTCTTATTTCCGACTATCTACCGGTAAAATTTGTTGTATTATTCAGCATTTCTATTTCTTTGTATACAATAAAGATACATTATCTCGTGTGTTTCTGGGCATTTTCTATTTTGTTTATTGTTTATCCCTATTCAAATGTTCAGCTTATTCCTTATTGTTAATTGTTTTGGTTTGCGTATAATATGATATAACTACAACTTAAAGACGTTGTGGGTTGATTATACTCTGTGCCTTGTGCGTCAGATGCATTTTGATTTTGCTGCTTTAGTTTCTACTTGTTTCAAATAGAATTAACTCACTGATTTCATTGGTTTGGACTTTAATTAATATTTCTAAATGTTTTGGTACTTACAAAGAGTAGAAGTGATAGTTGAATCAGGCTGGAAGTGATGATGGGGATTTGTGTATTGAAAAAATTAAATTGATGACAATGTTGCGTAGGTTTTTTAATTTTCTTCAGCTTTGGTTGGTACTTTCTCTTTGTGTGAAGTTATTGTGATTCGTCTGACTGAGTGTTGGATTGTTTTGACATTTTACAGGCATTAATATTGCAGGGTGAAGAAATTATACCAGTGGTTCCATGGGATGAGTGGTGAGCACTGGCACTCAAGGATAGTTCTAATCCACAAATAGCCTTGCTTCCCTTGCATCCAGAGTTGCGTGCGAATTTCAATTCTATGGAAGCATGGGAATATGCTCAGAGTATGTCAGGTAAGCCATATGGTTATCACAATATGATGTTTAGCTGGATTGACACCATGGCTGACAACTATCCTCCTCGTCTTGATACTCACGTGGTATGCCTTTGCTGCGTGAAACTTTTACGTGGCCTAGTACAATAAGCATTATAGAGATGAGGCAGAGTATCGTTGTGTAGGTTGTTAGTTTATATTGTTATTTCACCAGCACGCACGCACGTTCATCCTGCGTTTCATCCCCACACATGCATGTATATATGCATGTCAACTTAAGCAAGAAATTGAAAAGTTAAAGTTTGACTTAGATCTGTCTAGAAAAAGAGAAATTAATTTCACCATTGGACAATTATTTTGCGCTTTTATTGTGTTTCAGACTGCTGAAGAAGTGAGTTTTGCTGCAAATGGAATAACTTTAACTGGAATGAAAGCCTTTGATGGTGTTCTTCAATCTAACATTATGTTAAAGACTCTTAATCTTTCTGGAAACCCCATTGGGGATGAAGGCGTTAAGGTCAGTCCAAATTCCACCTGTTTATGATAAAGTTGTCTTGTTAGTTTGCTTGCAAGATTGAGTGTCGGAAAATTTTTCTTTTGAACATCAAATGCTCCCTGCTCCCTACACAAAATAACATTTTTCAACCATGGGAGTGCAAAGAAAAAGTTTTTAGCTCAGTTGCATGTGTATATTATTGCTTATTCTTGAATCTGAGAGCTTAATGTTGTGTGATGTACTCTTCTTCACAGTGCCTATGTGATATATTGGTGAATAATAATGGTATTCAAAAGCTCCAGCTCAACAGTACTGACTTAGGGGATGAAGTTAGCTTACTTCTTTCTGTCAAAGCTAGTGCCCTGATGAGTACAGACACATGCCTTCAAAATATGCAAGAGGAAAGGATCGTCCATGAATGATATGCCTAAAGGACCCTTCACCATTGGCAATATGACTCCTCTAGGTAGATGTCTCTGTTATTTGCTAAAATCTAATGTGTTTGCTCCCACCAACAAATCAAGAATGCCAAAATCCCTTGTTGGCATGGCTTATCTCATGATTTCCTCTAATCCTGTGCCCATCAGTCGGCTCACTTTTTACAGTATCTTACATGCCGGAGTACAAAACAAGGATGACAAATCCACTTGGCTTGTGTTTCCCTCCTTGATTACTTCTCTTGCCCTTCAAGAAGGTTGTCCTGTGTTCTTCTCTGACTCCAGACACCTTCCTCTCACTGTGGATGCAACCACTTTCAAACGCAGTGATGCTGCCTCTACGAGATCAAAAAATCTTCCTCCTACTGCTCCCTCATCCAGTTCCTCCTCTGAAACTGCAGTTCTTGCACTGCAATCTAAACTGGACACCATGCATGAACTGTTAAAAGAGATGTCTAATGCCCCATTTCTGCCAACCAAGCTTCTATCATTGCCATTCAAAACTTGTTGGTCTCTCACGGTATCTCTGGTGCATCTCCCTCTTCAAAAACTGCCGTTTCTTCTGCTTCTCCACTTAACTCCTCTGATCCTAACAACTTTGCTGCAGAAGCCCATGCTGACTCTGTCTCGGATGAGGTTTTCATTAGCACGCTTCTCAAATCTCACAAGCGAAAAACTGCTGAAGTCCCTTGTGCCTCTGTTAATCCCTCACCAAATCCTGTCGCTTCTCCAGTCATTCCTATCGAGAGGAGAAAGCTTCCTGCTAGGAAACGTCGGATCTAATACTAAGGGGGAGCTATGAGCACCTGCTGAGGGGGAGCTGCTGTCATTTTGTGTGTTTCTGTTTTTTTTTCTTTTTCTTCTGTTTTTGCTGTTCTAGTTTGGTCTGTGATCCCTTTGTCTTTTCTAAGACAAAAAGGGGGAGAATTTTGGGGACAATTCCAATTCTGTGTTGTCTTTGTAATTGTGGATCAGCTGCGGTTTGTGACACACTTTGTTTGCAGGTAAGCCATTCAGCTACTCTTAACTGAATTGTGTAGATCTTCGTGACGACTTGTGTAAATTTACTTTTTAAACACAGGATACGATAAAAACTAGTTAAACACACATATAATAGTTTAGAGAGTTTAGTGTCGCATTGCAAGCGGCTTCTTTACATAAACACTCCCAAATTGGCGTTAATGTTTTGGTTGACGTTGACACCACGTGGAGCTTCTATAACACTAGGGCTACGTTGAGGAGGTGTGTTGAGAGTTTCAATCCAGCTGACCGTAATATGAAGGAATTATTGAACTTAATTATTTTCATTGATCGTCTCTATTGAAAAAATAAAATAAAATAAAATAAAATAAAAGGAAACATTTTCATTGATCGGTGGATATTAGAGATCCCTCATTATAGCCCCTCATTGTTGTATCATTTGACACATGTCATTTATACATTGTTTGGAAAATAACATAAATGAGAGAAATTAGCAAGGCACAATTCGAGACTGTTGGTTTTGGGCTTCAAAGGCAAACAGTCCAACAAAATTCAGATAAGCCCTACAATGTATTTACCCAATAATAGCAAGGCCCAAGAGAGCTGTGAAGCGTCCACTGAACAGGTGAAGCAAATTTTGGACGGTGTCTTAGTAGTTGATAGGCTGATCGCCTGCTGCTGGTTTGTTCGATAACAATCTCAGAGACCCCGCCGCTGCAGAATACTATCAACTCTGCAATACAAACCCCCATAGCCATATCCGTACATACGTAGCCAAGAAGAACCCTCTCTATGCCCTTCTAACTTCTATCTCGCTCACCCTATGGGCTCCGCTTCCGCCATCTCTCTCTGCTCTCATCCCAAGGTACTCTCTTCTCTCTCTCTCTCTCTCTCTCTCTCTCTCTCTGTTATCCTCTTTTACTTCAATAATGAAATTCCTGTTGGGTTCTCAGATTCTTCTGCGGCCCCTCACGAACAAGCAGAGGCTGCAATCTCAATGCCAATCCCAAGGTTCGGGGAGTGCTTGGCTGGGCTATCGTACGCAGGGTGTGTTTTTATCTCCTATCCTTCTTAGAAGGAGGAGATGCTTGGCGGTAAAAGCGGCTTCTGCGGCTGAGGGAGGTTCTAGAAGGCCCGCCAGTGCTCGGAGAGTGTATAGAGAATCACAGAGCGCGAGCTCATTGCCTGTTGCTCCAGTCAAGCAGCTCGCTTCCTTCGTCGTTCCCGCCGCCTCATTCTTTGCCGTCACTTTCGGTACTGAATTTACTTTCAATTCCTCCCTTTTTTTTCTTTTCTTTTTTTTCTTTTTTTTTTCTTTTTTGTTGAAAAACTCTAACTTGGTTGAAATGTGGGTTAGAAATGAGGAAGTAGAAGCCTTTATAATTTGATTATTAGCAAATTTCAACTGGCAAAAAGCATTGTTCTTTTTCTGTTTCTGTCTTAATCTGATCCTCCATATATAAATGCCGAATGTAGATGAGGATGACACTCCCCCTACCTGTCGATAAATACCCTTTATTGCGCTTGAGATAATCAAAGTCATTTTTTCGTTCCGCCATTATAATTTCATCTTTATGTTTACCATGCCTCCCAAATTGGTGCACTAATTTATGTCTTCAGCTGACAGTTTTGTGGAAATTGGTGGAGAAAATCCTTGTTCCAAAGCGGCAGAGGACTTCATCTGTTGAAAACAAAACGCCTGCCGAAGGAATGAAGTGGTCTTTTGCCGCCGGTTCAAATTTGCTTACAGGTTTTGGTGCAAAGATTGAGAGAGAGTCCAAGCTGAAGCTCAATGACTTCGCCAAGGAACTTAGGTCATTCAGAAGTGTCGACTTGTCAGGTAGTTCTAGATGCTTTACTGCTCGTGCATGCAGCTTCTCTATTTTTACAGACTTTTAGGAAAAATACTGGCTAAAAATTATATTCTACTTTACGTTCTTATTTTCCATTATTCATATCAATTTCATTTAGATGCCAATTTCATTCGTGTTAATTTCTGTAACAATTCATATTTCAAGTTATATGTTTTCATAAGAGGTTTATTATTGTTTGTTAACTGTCTCACTTGATTGTATCTTTCTTTCTTTCTTTTGAATACAAACTGGGTTTATTATTCAATTAATGTAATGATTGTACTATACTTCCAAACAAAATGTAAAAACTCATGTATATTTTGGCAACACTTTATTTTGACAGGGCGTAATTTTGGAGATCAAGGATTATTTTTTCTTGCTGAGAGTTTGGGTTACAATCAGGTTTGAGTTCTTTAGTCAAATATTTCCACTATCTGTTTTTATTATATATATAATAAAAAATTCATCTTATTAATTTATGAAATATTGTGACTTTGGACAATTATTGTGTGCTTTTATTGTGTTTCAGACTGCTGAAGAAGTGAGTTTTGCTGCAAATGGAATAACTTTAACTGGAATGAAAGCCTTTGATGGTGTTCTTCAATCTAACATTATGTTAAAGACTCTTAATCTTTCTGGAAACCCCATTGGAGATGAAGGCGTTAAGGTCAGTCCAAATTCCACCTGTTTATGATAAAGTTGTCTTGTTAGTTTGCTTGCAAGACTGAGTGTTGGAAATTTTTTCTATTGAACATCAAATGCTCCCCACTCCCTACGCAAAATTACATTTTTCAACCATGGGAGTGCAAAGAAAAAGTTTGTAGCTCAGTTGCATGTGTATATTATTGCTTATTCTTGAATCTGAAGGCTTAATGTTGTGTGATGTACTTTTCTTCACAGTGCCTATGTAATATGTTGGTGAATAATAATGGTATTCAAAAGCTCCAGCTCAACAGTACTGACTTAGGGGATGAGGTTAGCTTACTTCTTTCTATCAAATTCTTGTTTATCCCTATTCAAATGTTCAGCTTATTCCTTATTGTTAATTGTTTTGGTTTGCGTATAATATGGATATAACTACAACTTAAAGACGTTGTAGGTTGATTATACTCTGTGCCTTGTGCGTCAGATTCATTTTGATTTTGCTGCTTTAGTTTCTACTTGTTTCAAATAGAATTAACTCACTGATTTCATTGGTTTGGACTTTAATTAAGCTTTCTAAATGTTTTGGTTCTTACAAAGAGTAGAAGTGATAGTTGAATCAGGCTGGAAGTGATGATGGGGATTTGTGTATTGAAAAAAAATTAAATTGATGACAATGTTGCATAGGTTTTTTAATTTTCTTCAGCTTTGGTTAGTTCTTTCTCTTTATGTGAAGTTATTGTGATTCGTCTGACTGCATGTTGGATTGTTTTGACATTTTACAAGCATTAATATTGCAGGGTGAAGAAATTATACCAGTGGTTCCATGGGATGAGTGGTGAGCACTGGCACTCAAGGATAGTTCTAATCCACAAATAGCCTTGCTTCCCTTGCATCCAGAGTTGCGTGCGAATTTCAATTCTATGGAAGCATGGGAATATGCTCAGAGTATGTCAGGTAAGCCATATGGTTATCACAATATGATGTTTAGCTGGATTGACACCATGGCTGACAACTATCCTCCTCGTCTTGATACTCACGTGGTATGCCTTAAATGCGTGAAACTTTTACGTGGCCTAGTACAATAAGCATTATAGAGATGAGGCAGAGTATCGTTGTGTAGGTTGTTAGTTTATATTGTTATTTCACCAGCACGCACGCACGTTCATCCTGCGTTTCATCCCCACACATGCATGTATATATGCATGTCAACTTAAGCAAGAAATTGAAAAGTTAAAGTTTGACTTAGATCTGTCTAGAAAAAGAGAAATTAATTTCACCATTGGACAATTATTTTGCGCTTTTATTGTGTTTCAGACTGCTGAAGAAGTGAGTTTTGCTGCAAATGGAATAACTGGAACTGGAATGAAAGCCTTTGATGGTGTTCTTCAATCTAACATTATGTTAAAGACTCTTAATCTTTCTGGAAACCCCATTGGAGATGAAGGCGTTAAGGTCAGTCCAAATTCCACCTGTTTATGATAAAGTTGTCTTGTTAGTTTGCTTGCAAGACTGAGTGTTGGAAATTTTTTCTATTGAACATCAAATGCTCCCCACTCCCTACGCAAAATTACATTTTTCAACCATGGGAGTGCAAAGAAAAAGTTTGTAGCTCAGTTGCATGTGTATATTATTGCTTATTCTTGAATCTGAAGGCTTAATGTTGTGTGATGTACTTTTCTTCACAGTGCCTATGTAATATGTTGGTGAATAATAATGGTATTCAAAAGCTCCAGCTCAACAGTACTGACTTAGGGGATGAGGTTAGCTTACTTCTTTCTATCAAAGCTAGTGCCCTGATGAGTACAGACATGTGCCTTCAAAATCTGCAAGAGGAAAGGATTGTCCATGAATGATATGCCTAACAAGCTGACGGCTTCACTGTGCAGGGTGCGAAGGCTATTGCAGAAATGTTGAAGAATAATTCAAGCTTGCGTGCTCTCGAACTTAACAACAATATGATCGACTACTCTGTAAGGAGTTGCCTCCAGATATTCTAAGATTGTAGGTTTTAATGACTTCAATCACAGTTGAATAACTGGTTCTATTTGTGATTTGTTCTTTGCAAAATGGAGGTAGGGATTTACAAGTCTTGCTGGAGCTCTTGTTGAGAACAACACAATACGGAATATACATCTGAAGTTAGTGCACCCTCCTCCTCTTTCTTATATAATACAATTTCTGGTTTATATGTACCGTTTGTTTGTTTGTATTGCTTGGCAATGGCTATTCTTGAGCACACTAAGTTAAAAATTCTATTGTAGCGGTACTTAACTTTTATTCTTTTTAGAAATTCTGATGTCATTTTATTATTTTTTATAGTGGCAATTATGGTGGTGCCCTGGGGGCCAATGCTTTAGCGAAAGGACTTGAGGGGAACAAGTCTTTAAGGGTACATGTTTCATCACTTCCACTTTTTTTCTGTTTTGCATTGAGACAAATTAATTTACCACTCTATGTTGATGACCCCTCAGAATTTTGTATAAATTTCGAAGGTATTTTACATCCTCTGGTAACTGGAAAATACAAGTAGTTAGATAGCTGAACTGACTATGTAATAAGAAGTCTTAAAAAGACATTCGGTCACAATGGATTCACAAAATATGCTCTTCATCAACACTCTAAGAGATTGACAAAACCCTATTTAGTGTTGCCAAGAAATGGTGATCATTATTCTTCTTTGATATGTCACAATATTGTTGCATATAAATAGATGAGCTCGCAACAGAATGGATTAAGTTCTTCATTGTAAGGGATCTGAGGTTAATAGCTATGTTATATATGCAGGAACTTCATTTGCATGGAAATTCTTTTGGAGATGAAGGAGTGGCTGCTTTGATGTCAGGTTTATCATTACATAAAGGTTTGCATTTCACTATATCAATTGCCAACGTTAGTGATGCAGAATGCATATGAATAGTTTTCCTAGTTCTACATCAGTTAGTGAGCTATTTTATTTTATTTTTTCAGCAATTGATCTGATATGCATATTTGCTCAGGTAAACTCACACTTCTAGATATTGGCAACAACTCTTTTAGTGCAAAAGGCGCCTTTCATGTTGGTGGATATGTCAAAAAGACCAAGAGCTTGTTATGGTTGAACGTTTACATGAATGATATAGGTGATGAGGTACAGTATTTTTAAGTTGCTAACCATTTCTGCCGCACACTTACGCGAACTCGTACTTTTATTTGGTTCCCTGTTCATTGGTTAAAATCACTTAACATAGAATATTTAGGATTTTTGTATGTGAAATTAGATTGATGGATCAAGTCCTCCATTAAGTGTCGTTTCAAGGTTGTCAGCTTGCTTTGAACTCCTGCTACTGCGACAGCTATCACTGTTTGGATGTTTCTGGCATTTGACAAGCTTAAGACATAAAAGATAATTGAAAACTAATTTTGATCTACTTACTTATTTTGGAACTTAGTTCATTGTTTTTGCTAAAACTTAGTTCATCCTTGCTGATGGTTGGATGTTTCTGGCATTTGAAAAGCTTAAGACATAAAAGAGAATTGAAAACTAATTTTGATCTACTTACTTATTTTGGAACTTAGTTCATTGTTTTTGCTGAAACTTAGTTCATCCTTGCTGATGTGTAAATCCTGTTCATGTTTAGGGAGCTGAAAACATTGCAGATGCTTTGAAGCAAAACCGGACAATAACAACCATAGACCTGGTGAGAAGAGCATGCTTCTTTGTTAGCATAACTTTTTATGTACATGTTTTATTCTATTTTATTTAAAAACGAAAAAAGAGAGGTCCTGAACATACTAATTTAAAAAACATTGGGTCGCTTTCAAAGGGAGGAAATAACATCCATGCCAAGGGAGTCACTGCCATAGCTGAAGCGTTGAAAGATAATTCTGTCATTACATTTGTAAGTCTCTAATCTGTGCCCTTTTCCTTTTTTTTTTTTTTTTTCATTTCTATTCATGAATGTAATGGCAGAAACTTATCTCTTCTCTCAGTTGGAGCTTGGTTATAATCCCATGGGACCTGATGGGGTGAAGGCTTTATCCGAAGTTCTCAAGTTTCACGGAAACATTGAAACCCTTAAGCTTGGCTGGTGCCAGGTAATCTATAGTTTTTCACATATGCTTATCTATTTCTAGAACTTCGATCTGGGTTTTCTGTATCCATTTGAGAGGATCTTGTAACAATGTAATATAAAAATCTTTTGCAGATTGGTGCAAAGGGTGCAGAGTTCATCGCGGATATGTTAAAATATAATACTACAATACGCGTTCTGGACTTGCGGGCAAATGGACTTCGAAATGAAGTTAGTTCCTGCAGACAAGCAATGTCTTTAAACTCCATTTGGGTCGTTTTGATCACTCCAATCTAATGTTATTTTCCTTTTTATGCATTGGAAAATACAGGGTGCATCCTGCCTGGCTCGTAGCTTAAAAGTGGTTAATGAAGCTTTAAGTTCATTAGATTTAGGGTTCAATGAAATCAGGGTATGTATTGACTTTGTGTTTTCCGTGTGCTTTTTTCACATTTTAGCAGTATTTTGCACAATTTGAAAATGGTTTTGTATTCAGGATGACGGGGCGTTTGCAATTGCTCAAGCACTGAAGGCCAATGAAGATGTGACAGTCACATCTCTGAACCTTGCGAGTAATTTCCTCACCAAATTTGGGCAGGTAACCTTCTCATCCTCTTAAGGGTTTTTTTTTTCTCTTTCACTATTTTGGCATTTTATTTTGTGCTGCTTGTTTTCACATGCGTCTTAATGAACTTTTGCATGATGCAGAGTGCTTTGACAGATGCAAGAGACCATGTATATGAGATGAGTGAAAAAGAAATCAACATTTTTTTCTAGAAGGCAGGCTTATTAGACTAGAAATGTGGGTGGTATGTGGGAAACAAATCAACATCTTTTGGTTTATTCTTTTTCCCAGGAAGCATGGGTAAGAACTCCAATATCCAAACTTGTGGTTGAAAATTTTGAGTTCTTATCGACTTCCACTTACTGAGGAACAAATTGGAAATTTTGACGTTGAGAGATCATAGTTAGCTCTTCAGTGATAGATAGGTACTGTTCGTAAGGCTTTTCTTTTTCTTTCATGGGTGGTGTTATTCACTAGAGAGTTGAAATATAAGTCTACAAAGCTTTGTATCTTTCAATGTACTGATAAATTCAGAGAAGTTTTTGTAATGATTTATTATTAGTATTTAGTACCAAGACCAACCAAGAAAAGATGAGTGGTGGTGCCTTTATAAATTAGAGAAGTGAGTTTTGAGGGTGCCGATGCGATGCAATGCCATATAGCCTTGGATGGATGATTTTATTGAACTGTTAAGCGGTGTAGCGTGTGCGTGGCTCACTTTGGAAACAGCATTCATGTCGTGGCTGGGACCATGGACTGTTGTGTCACCGCACCACCGCCTCATCGTCTAATGAGCTAGCTGGTCCTCTTGGAAATTTAAGGGCAGGACACACCCACCGTTTCAATTTCTGTGCCGAGGCCAACTTTTTTATTTTTGTTCTGCACTCATGGTTAGTCCAGTTGGCTAAAGCACATCTACTTTTTGCACTTGAGTTTCATCACTTTCTTCATACATTAGAGTAATTTAAAATATCGTTTTGTTTGAAAGAGAAAAAATAATACAATAATTCAGACATGTTCGACATTATTGATTCAAAATCCGTCTAGTAACAAAAGATTGATTCAAAACCATCCTGTAACAAAATATGGATTATGACGTCTCATTCCCTTATATGATACATACATGCATTATGCATACAATACAACTAGAGCCGAGCTGTCTCCTGTATACATGCATGCTTCCAATCCATACATCCAGCCAGCTTGGTAGCCTGCCTCCTGCATCCTGCATCCTGCTGCCCATCGCCATTTTTATTTCAAATTCCTTTTTTATGATCTTATCTTATCATAAATAGTTATGTTATGCATGCATACTATTACTGGTTTACATCCAAAAAGGGGAGAGCGAGAGAGAGAGAGAGAGAGAGAGAGAGAGAGAGAGGAGTATATCTACTTCTTGTAAGATATCATATGTTCGTATTACAAAACAAAGTCAGCTACTGCCAAAATGGGGTCTGTCATGGTTTCAGACCCCGATGGCGTCGTACTTAGTTGAAAACAAAATCACAAAATAAAACGACACTGTTGTGTTCATCATCTAATTAAACGCAGAAGAGTAGAAGACAAGACATGCGCAATATGGGAGAAGATACATGGGCAATAAGGTAACTATATTATTAAGAGGCAACTGCTATGCTGTATATATCAAGAGCTTTGCCTTTCAGTTTCGGATATATACAACACTGCCTCTGCTTGTGTTTAAATTGAATGGCTTTTCGCTTGCTTCTTGTTATGGCGGTTTTGCTCTTCTGCATGGCGACGCAGGTAATAACAAAAGCCTTAAAGTTCCACTCCCTTCCCTTTATTACTCACTCTTTTCCTCTGGAGATCATGCCTTCACCAAAATATTTACATGTTTTTCCATACATGCAGGTCTCATCTGATTCGAATATACAAGACCATGAAACCCAGGTTTAGACTAATCACCACGACCTTCTTTTTTTTTTTTTTCGGGGTGGGGGGGTTGTTTTGTGTGCAGGATATTTAATTAATTAGTTCTTACCGATTACTCTAGGTGGTGAAAGGAGCAAACAGAAGGCTTTTACCCTACCTGAGTATGCCTTTTCTCAATCCCTTGCCCTTGTTGATGATGCATGCATGTAGTTCATTTAGTGTTTAATAAATAACATAAGTTAACACAGCGGTGTGTGTTAATTAAATGTGTTTTGTTTTGTATTAATTTGATAATTAATAATAATGCAGATTGTGATGAGTTATGCAACTCGAGGTGCAGGTTGCACTCAAGGCCAAACGTGTGCACAAGGGCATGCGGTACCTGCTGCGTGAGGTGCAAGTGTGTTCCTCCGGGTACCTCCGGCAACCGGGAGGCCTGTGGAAGGTGCTACACTGATATGACCACCCATGGCAATCGCCTCAAGTGCCCTTAATTACTACTATATTTCCAATTAAGGCCAATTACTGAAAAAACCAAAAAAAAAAAAATTCGCACTAGGAAATAAATTTCAGATATTTAGTCAGTGAGTGTTGTGTTTTGTATGATGTTGTTGTGTATGTGTCTCCTCTACTATTTTCTTTCTTTGTATCAATGTTGAGTTCAGTTTCTGAGTCGTGTTATTTGTTGTAACTTGTAGCGAACAATAATAAACTAAATATTGCAGACTTGTGTATCTGTAAGATTGTATCTCCTCCTCTCACGTCCAATGCTCTTAAAACACAACTCTTTTTGTTCTTTTTGAAATCATAAAACCCAACCTCTTTGGCCCATTTTATTACTGGACAGAAGAACCGACACACCATTTAGGAATTATATATATTTCGGGTTTTATCCACGGTGGGTCAAAAATTTAAAATTGTTCTTATTTCAACTGGTGGAGGAAAATAAAAGATTTGTAGCTCCATTGATTAAAAAGTATTTATTTTTGCACTTGAGATCTTAGGATTGAATCTAATGCTCCTTTCTATCCTGATAGTGCTTGTAACCAGGGACGGACTCACAGTGGGGTCAATGGAGTCAAACGACCCTATGGACTCCATGAAAGCAAGGTAAAAGCAATGGCGGATCCAGAATTGTTACCCTATGGGGTCATAATGTTAAAGTTTCAATTTTCTTTTTAAAATGAAATAATGCAAAAAAATAATATTTAAAAACACACCAAATTTATTCCAACTAACAAAAACATCATTCAATAAATCAAGCTCATATATGTATTATGTAAGCCATAAATTCCATCAAAATAATAACATCAACCTAAATAATAAATAAACTCACCCAAAAATAACCCAAAAAATAAAATATCTTAAATATTAAAAACAAAAACAAAAACAAAAAACACAGTGAATGTTAAACCATTATCCTTAAGGTCCATTTCTATTCAAAGACCACTATGGTAAGTGATGTCTTTATGCTATTCATCTATACTTTTAGTATTTATATGTCTACTCAACAAAATTAAAATAATATTAAAAAAACACTAACAAATATCTTCCTTTTAAAAAAAATTATGTCGACGCATCTTCTTCTCCCTCTCAGTCTTCATCTTCTTCCTCCCCCTCCTCTCTTTTCTTCTCCCTCAGTCTTCTTCTTCTTCCTCCCCCTCTCTCTCTCTTTCTTCTTCCTCCCTATTTCTTCTCCCTAGCAGCTTGCATCTTCTTCTCCATGGGGTCGTCTCCCACGGTTGCCAAGAGAAACCAAGAACCTCCAAGCTATTTCTAGGGCTGCCTCGGGGTCGTCTGACCCCATTGACCCCATGGTGGATCCGCCACTAGGTAGAAGGTCTCCTTGAATGGCTGTGTGTATGGCTGAAGGAGAAGGTTGTAGATCTGAAGAAGAAGAAGCTGAACAACTATTCTGTTTTTTTTTTATATTAAACAAGCTGGCCAAAACGGTGTCGTTTTGGTCCAGTTTCTAATTTTTTTAAAAAAACAGGTTGGCCAAAACGGCGTCGTTTTAGACCAGCCCAACGATTTTTTTTTTTTAAACACACTGGCCAAAACGCCGTCGTTTTGGTCCAACTTCTATTTTTTTTTTAATAAACAGGCTGGGCCGAAAGCCGCCGCCTTTGACCAGCCCCCCCCCCCTTCTTTTAATAAACAGCTCCCGCCGTCGTTTTGGACCAGCAGCAGCGAATTTTTTTTTATGAAGACTTAGCCAAAACGACGTCATTTTGGTCCAGGTCTTTGAAAAAAAAAATAGAACAAATTGTATAATTGAAACAAACCCTCCCTCCCGAGTTAAGAACTCCAAAACCCCAATTTCCTAAATCATCAAACCTAAATCCCCAATCTCCACCCCCCACAAACCCAAAACCCCCATTTCTTGAACTTTTACACTAGACTGGAACATTATAGTCATTAATTAATATGACAGTAAACTAGCAATGTTATTACCCTAGACTGGAACATTACAAAGGTATACATGCATTAGAAATAGGATGTCATAGGAAACTAAAAGTGTTATTACCCTATATTGGAACATTACAGGGGTAGACATGCATTAGAAATAAGATGTCATAAGAAAATAGCAGTATTATTACCCTAAACTGGAACATTACAGTCATTAATCAACATGACAGTAAATGTGTGGAATATTACAGTCATTAATTAACATGACACATTAATAAAGCTATGGTTTTCAAGACGTATTGTTTGTAATGAATTATTTGGGTTCTTTTACAAAATTGGGCTGGGTTTGTTTTGGGTGCTATTTAATTTTTTTGTGTTGGACTTCTTTTTTAAGTTGATTAATGGCAATCACATAATTTACATAAATTTAAACACCAATTTCTTATATAGTAAATGAGTTTTGGGTGTATTTCTAAAGTGCGTTCTATGTGAGTTTTTTTTTATAATTTCAGCCCTTATTTTAGGTATATTAATGAAGCTTTTTTTTTTTTTTTTTTTTGGGTTACAATAATGTCTTATCTTTGATCATATTGAAATTTGTATTATGTGATAATGAAAGATTATGAATTTTTTTTGTGATGATTATTTTTTCGTACAAACCAATCATTCAATTTAATCTAATTCAATATACATTAGATTAGATTAGATTGGATCCTGACATCTGACCATATTAGATTAAAAGTAAATTTAGATTTTAGCCACAAAAAAAATTTCACTTTTTAAAAAAGACAAAAAAACCTCTCAACTTTCAAATCAAAGACATGCAAATGTGAAGGATTCCTTAGGAAATCCAAAAATAAATCAGGATAATTTTGTCTATTTTTACTTATTTTACAAAAAATTTCTCTCTTTTGTGTTTTTTCAAAGTCTCCTTAGATTAAATTGTAAATTTTGTAATCTAATAAAAAATTGGATTGAAATGAATTGGTAAAAAAACCATCGGTTTCAAACCGATAGGGGTTGATCTCAACTACTCCTTTTAAGTTTCTTTTCCCTTTCGTGTTGTACGTGTATCTTTTTGAAGCCGCAATAATATGGATGGCCTGCTGAGTGTTTTCATGCGTCAGCATCTACCAGCTTCTTTAATAATTAAATGGCACTTTTATCCTGTCGATGACCCCATGCGCAATCATGGAGTTTTAATATGAAAATACTGCCTTTATAATCCATGCAATTGCAATATCGCACGCTAACTCTTTGTCGCTTTAGAGCATTTCCATCCCTCCTTTTGCCATTGCAAGAACACCACCCGCAAAGGAAAAGTCCGTGATAAAAAATGGGCCACGAAATTGAAAAAGTCCGAAGGCAAGACTTATTAGGCAAGCTGATGTCATGTTGATAATTAGCATGATGTCAATGGCCAATTTAAATACTAAAAAATTCAGAATCTTTTTTTTAATAAATGTCTAGCCACATTCTTTACTTCCCACACCAAAATCCATACAAATTCATCTAATCATATCTTATGTAAATAGTGATTGCCCTTGGATTGACATGGCAATCGTGGGTGGAAATGCATCAAAAAATTGCTAGAGTAATCACTATTCATATGAATAGTATTTGCCCTTAACTTTTACCATGACACAATGGGATGGAAGTTCTCGTAGCTTATAAATAAACAGCGCCGGTGTTAGAAGAAACCAAGCACAGAACAAAAGCAAAAGAAATGGAGAATCATCATAACGAATATAGAGGTCATGTTGTGGTGCTTCCATATCCAAGCCAAGGCCACATCAACCCTCTCCTTCAGTTTGCAAAACGCCTGGCCTCTAAAGGCGTCAAGGCCACATTGGCCACAACCAGTTACACTGTCAACTCCGTTTGTGTCCCGAACGTGGGGATCGAGCCCATCTCCGATGGGTTCGACCAGGCCGGCTTTGCTCAAGCCGCAGATGAGGACACTTTCCTTCAATCATTCAAAACCAATGGCTCAAGAACCCTATCTCAAGTCTTGGATAAATACCAAAACTCCGACTTTCCTGTCAATTGTGTAGTTTATGATTCTTTTTTGCCATGGGCTCTTGATGTGGCCAAGAAACGTCGCATATATGGAGCTTCATTCTTTACCAATTCGGCCACGGTGTGCAGCATTTTTTACCGCATTCATCATGGCTTGCTTTCTCTTCCATGTAAGCTGGAAGATATGCCCTTGTTGGTTCCTGGCCTGCCGCCACTCAACTTTCCTGACCTGCCTACTTTTCTTAAGAAGCCAGATAGCTACCCAGCTTACTTGAAGATGAAACTGAACCAGTATCCTGACTTGGACAAGGCTGATTGGGTCTTTATAAACACATTCGAGGCACTAGAAGGCCAGGTACGAATGCTAATCTAGACAACTTGACATGTTATGTTGTTCGACTATCAATCTCTTTCCATTAATCAAGTACATATGCTAGGCATTTGGTGTCCATAAGCGAGCTTTCTTATCAGCATTGCATGCATTTGTGCTAGCTGCTCAATTAAATATCATGTTGCCAAATTCCAATTCTAATTTTAGTTCAATGAAAGGCTGCAAACGGATTATCAAAGCTGTTCTCTGGGAAGTTGATTGGCCCCATGGTCCCTTCAGCTTATTTGGATGGGCAGATTACGGGAGATAGAGGATATGGAGCAAGCCTATGGAAGCCTCTTGGCGAAGAATGCACCAAATGGTTAGAAGCAAAGCCACCCAAATCGGTTGTTTATGTCTCCTTCGGAAGTATGGTGTCTTTGACAGAAAAGCAGATAGAAGAGTTAGCAATGGGGTTGAAAGAAAGTGGGGTGCATTTCTTGTGGGTGGTGAGAGAATCTGAACGCTGCAAGTTGCCCAAAGAAATCTCTGACTCAGCGAAGGAAAAGGGTCTGTTTGTGAAATGGTGCAACCAGCTAGAAGCACTTGCACACGAAGCTATTGGGTGCTTTGTGACTCATTGTGGCTGGAACTCTATACTTGAAGGGCTCAGCCTCGGAGTGCCTATGGTGGCGGTGCCGCAGTGGGCTGACCAGCTCACTAATGCTAAGTTCGTGGAGGAGATATGGGAGGTTGGGGTCAGAGCCAAGGAAGATGAGCAGGGTGTTGTGAGGAAAGAAGAGTTTGTTGGGTGTTTGAAGAAAGTAATGGAGGGAGAGAGAAGCCAAGAAATTAGGAAGAATTCAACTAAGTGGAAGGAGTTGGCTAAGAAAGAATTTAGCGAAGAGGGGAGCTCTGACAAGAACATTACTGGATTTGTTGAGCATTTGAGGCTTGCTAACAAGAAAGGAGAGGCAAAGCAATTCTTGAATGGCGCAGATTAAACTTTATTATGACTGGTATGTGTGAGAAAGTCGAGCATAAAGTGGTAGATTGTGTTCGTTGTCGTGTGGTTAGCGCTCCTATTTTTATATGTAAAAGACTTGTTCTTCAACTTAAATTTCTTACCTTGTTTTTACGAGAGAGAGAGTGACAGATTCATCTTGTGTC